AGTCTGACTCTTAAGGAGTTTGAAACTGCAACTTCAAGTACAGCATGAGCTGCCCCAGGTTGGAAGGCACCTAGACCTGTTCTGTTCCTGCAGGAGACCAACCTTGTATGCCAACCTTGCCACTGCATGTAGAGTTGTCGTCTTGTGGCTTCCCAGCATCCACTGTCATTACAAAGGGGTTACTAAAGGGTATCCATGTTTATTTCTGTTAATATCTGGTATGGACTAATTGTTCTTGGATTACTGATGTCAGGTTCTCTCTGCCACCATCGTGCCTTTTTGGACTAAGTACCTGGAGTGTGTGTGTGTATGGTTTTTAAAGGATGATTGGGAGGGAGGAAACCCTTATCTGTTCCAAATCGGTCTCTAGTAGAGTGCCTCCTAGTTCTAGTGTGGAGTGACTTGTTGAACATCAGTCCTGCTGTCACCTTGTTCATAAACCTTACAGTAGGGCAGCTGCTTCATTCCTTTACTCAGTTTAGTTGCCTGTGTACATTCTTCTAACTCCAGCACATCCTCTTGGGGTGCAGAGAACTGCACACAACATCAGGATGTGAATGTTAGAAGGCTTTATCCAGGGCCAGAACTGGTAAGTACTCACGCTTTGCTGTATCCCCAGTGGTCTACCCTCAACACCAAGCCAAGCTTACAGACTTGTTTCAGAAGTAATTTATTTTGTAATTCTATTTGTTAGCTATGAGTGCTCTCCAAGGTCATAGGTTTTAGCGTTAAATAAAGCAATTGATTTATAATCTTAGTTTCAGACTAAAAATAAGCAGCAGAGCAACCAGAACTCTTGAGAATGTGTTTACTTTCTTAGCAGTTCTTAGTGGTATTTCCATAGACACTGGTCATTAACTTCTTAAGAAAAAGAAAACAGTGACTTGGGAACTAGAGATTTTTCTTCTGTTTTCCCTAGAACAAAACAGTCTGTTCCTTACAATTTGATTTTCATAAGCAACTTCTGTTTCACATTCATAAATACCTTTCAAATATCCAGGAGTTCTTATGTCCCCAAAAGATTCCTTATAGAAATTGAGCTACTTTTTGTTGTTCAGAAATGTAGAGTTTAAAAGTAGCTTTTAAAAAAAAAAAGCAGTTGCTAACTGTTTCTAATGTACACACCTTTGAGGAGCAAGGGCCACTTCTAGTTCAAAAGGGAACTTCACTGGATGATCAAATGACCTAAAATATGGCTTACCTCCAGTGCTTCCTTAAAAGAAAGTCTGAACTGGGCTTCCATCTCTAGAGGAGGTTGTGTCCTGCTGGGACTGAGGTAGGTTTGCAGCACACAGACAGCTGGTGTTCCATCTGCCCTCTGAGATGGTGAAAACATTCCTTGTCAATCCCATGTCAAGTCTACTTAAAATAGTGTTCCCAAAACGCATTGCTCTCATTTTAGCAGGATGTTAATAGCCATTGTATGTGTTGCTCTGGCTACTGTGCTTCTCACCACACATGAGGTGGATGCTGTTGTCTAGCTGGTTTATCTCTTGAATCAATGGCCTTTTTGACCAAAAGGCAGCCCAGAAAGCCAGCTGTATCCTTGGCTGCATCAAAAGAAGTGTGGCCAGCAGGTCAAGGGAGGTGATTTTCCTCTTCTACTTTGCTCTTGTGAGACCCACCCAGAGTACTGCATCCAGCTCTGGAGCCCCCAACACAAGAAGGATGTGGACCTGTTGGAGTGGGTCCAGAGGACTCCATGAACATGATCTGAGGGCTGGAACTCCACTGCTGTGAGGGCAGGCTGAGAGAGTTCTTCAATATGTAGAGGAGGTGGCTCTGGGGAGACTTATGGCAGCCTTCCAGTATCTGATGGGGGCCTACAAGAAATTTGGGAGGGGGACTTCTTACAAGGGCTTATAGTGATAGGATGAGGGGTAGTGGATTCAAACTGGAAGAAGGTGGACTTGGATTAGAAATTAGGAAGAAGTTCTTCACTGTGAAGAGCGTGGAACAGGTTGCTCAGAGGAATGGTGGATGCTCCATCACTGGACGTGTCCAAGACCAGGCTGGATGGGGCTTTGAGCAACCCGATCTAGTGGGATGTGTTCCTGCTCAAGGCAGGGAGGTTGAAACTAGATGATCCTTCGGGTCCCTTCTGACCCAAACCATTCTATTATTGTGCTAAAGACTAACTCACTTTGACCATAGTAAATATCTCCTGCAAATGAGAATATTGTTTTCCATAGCTGGCTCTGGTGTGCCTTTTAACAACAGAAATCTTAAGTTCTTTGGTAAATTTTCATATAAATAAGCTTGTGTATAAGCATTGACACAAAGACTTCAAGCAGTAAGTGACAGGCATACCATCGAGATAGTTAAATGCAAATAAGCCTTGTGTAATTCTGAACATATTTAGAAGGCTTGTACGAAAAAGCATGAAAATAACTGTTGCTATGCAAGTGGGCTGTTTGTCCTAATCCTGAATAGTCCGGGGGAAGAGGAGCTTTGCAAAAATTAGCAATAGTTTTAGATGATAAATAATCCTCTTGATTAGCTACTTAGATTTTCATATTTTTCATTGTAAATTGTTTACTAGAATCCCCCTTGCAGAAAGTGAGAACTCTTATTGCATCAGGACTTGTTGTAGGTGATGGTGGCCGAGGTGCAGGCGTGTCTTGGGTTGGCTGGGCCGGGCTTGCCTGCCCCTCTGCAGCCACTAAATGTCTGTGAAGGTGGTGTTCTAGTTCTGCATCCAGTTTTCTCCTCGCAGCGTCTTTGATGCTGTTTGAAGGTCACAGGTCTGACAATCATTTTCATTGGTTGATGCTTTAATTTTTTTTAATGTGTTAACTTTTATAGGCATACTGAAATATTCATTTGTTATGTTTGCAGCATGTCTCTATTAAAAAAAAAAAAAAATTAATGCTAGAGAAGCAAACCCACCCCAGGTGAGAGAGGTTCTATTCTGTTCTAATAACTTGGCTTTTTACCAGACATTGTAATACATTATAGTTTTTTCCTTCAGGAGAAGGCTGAGGCTATAAATTGAATCCAAGTAGATGAATCGCTGCCATCAGTTCAGTGGCGCTTTACCTGAATCCAGAGGGCAGCGAGCAGTGGCTGAGACAGCAGTTCAATTAAGATTGTGGTACAAGTAAATCCATTGTATTGTTAGAAAGGCTTTTGATTATAAAATTCTTCCTTTAGAATAGGGTGAGCTGACAAGACAAGTCTGAACGGTGCTTTTGTCCTGTTTGTGTAAAAAGTGATTAGACCTAGAATAGGTCTGGGGTGAGGGGAGAGCATCTGGTTGCTTTAGATGACTTCTTTTCCTCTCCCGTTTTAATAAAATAGATGCATGCGTGTTTCCTTTAATCCCCAGACGTAGCAAGATCCTTTACTTTGCCTTTTGTAGGCTGGCAATTTTGCAGACTTGACACAACTACTCAAGCAAGCAAGTGGTCATGAGTGGGACCATCTCCTGCCACTGCTTCCAAGACATTTAGGTGCCTGAGTTAAAAAGCCAAATTGCAGGCTGTTTTTCTGGGTTATTTTATACCATCAGATGCATATCAACAATCCTTTCTCCATGGTTTAAAAATAACTTGATGAGATCTCCTTTACAAGGACTTGAAAACTCTGTTGGCATTTAAATTTATCTTCCCTTGAAAGCATTGCAGTGCCTCTGACTTCTCAGGTATGCTGAGGCGTAGAAAACTCTGGTTTAGCTACGGGGGCAACCTAAAGAGCCCTCTCTTTTCTTGCAGTTGCTTTAGTGCTTTTTAATTCTAGAAAGGTACCTTAAATACCCCTGCTCTCAGGATTTTTCAAACTATATGAATATGAAATCAGTGTAAATTCAATTTTCCCTGCTGCTGTTCAGAACTTGCTGGCTGATTCACTAATTCTCTGGCTTCTTAGGGGAAAAAAAAGTGATAGGGACAGCAGAGTTGGAAATGAATTACTGAGTGGAAGAACCCCAGAAGAGACCTCTCAAAATAGCAGATTGATTGCTTAGTCAAGGGATGTGAGGAGAGCTGGTTACTGATTATAGAACCCTGGAGACCAAGGGGAAATGCTACCACCAAACTTATTCCGCGAGTAGCAGCAGACTGGTCTTGCTGAGGCTGGTGCTCCTTGAAGGAGGTAGGTGTGCATGCACATCCACCATGCCTTGCCTCCAGTGATGCAGGAGCTCCTAGGAAGCAGCTCTACTTCCCTGACTGCTAGATGTCTAATAGATTTCTCTTGAGCCCTTCCAAGCTGCAAAGGCAGCAGTGACATCAGCTGTTTGTAACCTGCTGCCTGCATTCACTCAGATGTATTTCATGTACAACCTCAGGCTTTTCTTATTTTCAGCTTAACTTTGTTATAAGGTGACTGCTTTTACTTCCAACTTCATTGATATCTATTACAAACTTGCCCTGCAGTTCAAGAAAGAAGGTGCCTCTGTTTCCATGAGCAACCCTAAGTGGAAATCATAGTGTGCATGGCTTTTACAGTACTGGCAATAAATGTTTTGACCCCCTGTTGTTACTCAGGGAATTTAAATTTTTTTTTCCACAGCTATTGGTGTGCTCTGCATTAACACTTAAAGTTCACTAAGCTTCTGTGTGCAGGAGTTAAAGAATGCAGCAATGCAACCAAGAGAAATAATCAATAGGCAGGGAGTCCATAGCGTGCTGGTCATAGAGTGTACAGCTGAATGGTAACCATGTTTCCAGGGTGAACTGTCAGCTTTGACCTTTGGGTTCCATGCAATGTAGATGTAGTAGCTGAACTGGAAATCCTCTCGAGCATCTGAACCAAGATCCTGTTTCAGTAAATGGAGATGTGGGTGTGTTTGGAGAGGATTAGGAAGTGGTGCCTGAGAGCAAAGACTCCATGTTGTTGGCACATGTGTCAGCCCTGACCAAGGTGGTCTGAGCGGTGGCATTTCCTGACCGCAGCTCGTGATTCTCAGCTGCCACACCAAGGTGCCCAGGTGGTAAAACACCCTGCTGGTAAGTACGTGTGTTGTTACACAGATCTCAACCTCTGCTTTTGTTCCTCAGTATTGAGTTCGACCGAGACTGTGACTACTTTGCCATCGCTGGGGTGACAAAGAAGATTAAAGTCTATGAGTATGGTACAGTCATTCAGGACGCAGTGGATATTCACTACCCTGAGAATGAAATGACCTGTAATTCCAAAATCAGGTAGGCACTGACTTTGCATTTAAACTCGGAGAGCCTTTTCCATTTGCTCATTTGTGTGCAGTAACTGTTTTGCTTTGGCCATTTTGGGAATGGGGCCTCTTCATGAGGCAATGGAGAGCTCGCTTTGAACTCTGGGTGGGATCAGGTGGCACAAGCATTTTCTTCCATATGCCAGACTCATACAGGGTAATAGCAGGCCCACATATCTGGAGAAGAAAGGGGCATAGGGTAGTGAACTGCTTTTATGTTCCTTGCAAATTCTGTTGGATACTTACTTAGTTAAAAGGAGATTAAAAGCAGAGTAATGAAAATGCTCCAGGTAAAGCCTTAGCTTGTCTCAAGGTAGCTTTTGTGCTCAGTTCTTAATAATAGCCACCAATTCCTTCATGCTCTCTTCTCTTCATTAACCAAATCTTTCCATTCTGCTGAGAGGCAACTAGTCCTCAGGAAACATGCCTCATTTACACCTTCTGCCTGTGAATTTGTCTGCCTGAAGTACTCTTCTGCTGGGCCTCAATGTCAAGCTCTTGAGAAAAGACTTTGCTTGATTTTTTGCTTCTGTGCTGCTATTGCTACTGTCAACCTATTTTTTTATCTTATTGGATTACTTCAACCAAAACAATATAGATCACATGTCAAAACTTCAGTTGAAAGAATCCAGCTAACATAACTTAAAAATCCTAATTCAGAAATTCTGTTAAAGCTCAAAAGTAAATAATACAGGCAATCAAACTGATTCAGTATTACAGTACAAGTCTCCAGCATCTCTGTTCAACTCATTTGTTTTTATTTGGTGCTCTACATTTTAAAAACAGTCAAGTACCCACAGAAGTGTAAATAATAAATTTCTATAACAGTCTGGCTTTTACGAAAAGAAAATGTTGTGCAACAAGATTAGAAATGTTTGCAAGACTACTTTATAGCATAAAAGTCATGCTTAGTTTTCTAGTTGATGTGTTTTGTAAGACAGATCAGTCACTCCTGTATCACTCATGCTGATTATTCTTGGGAATTGTGTAACACTGTTTTCTGATGGAAAATATGTAAATGCAAGTGACCTTGGGACTGGCTTTCAAGCTGGGTATAAGCAGTCTGGGAGGGATTTGTATTGATGAGCCGTGCTGATTATGGAGCTTGTGTTTTGCCAGGTTTGTGACACATTCAGCGTTTTTGACTGAGTCATAGAGTTCACACCATTCAGCTTCATGATTCTGGAGAGGGGAGTGCATAGTAGGAGAAACATCTAGTAGCTGATTAATACTGTTTTGCTCTAATTAGAAAGGGTAAAGTGATGTGTTTGGTACTTCTTGGTCTGTCTGAGGTAACTTCCAGACTTGCTACTTCAAATTTGACAGGAATTTACCCTGATGATCCTGTCAGACATTAGGAAGTTATTTGTTCTTCCTTCTCCAGCAGTCACTAATGTTGTTCTTGTCAGCTTTGTGCTCCAGACAAGGCACTGCTTGCATTCAAGGTTTCTCCTTTCTCAAATTTCATGCTTATATACATTATGTATATATGACAAAGCTAAATGCATTGTCCTGTGACACTGCCTCAGCAGAAGTGGACAGGGCCCTCTTCTTTCATTTCCTTACACTAGTTTCTATCATTCCTCCAAAGAAATGTATTTTTTTTCCCTCCCTCCCATTGGCACCTCCATATTATATTAACCTTCCTTCAGCATGTAGGTAGTTTTGGTTTTGACAAATAAAGTTAGGCTGTCAGTCAAATGCATCCTTGCTATATCCATTAGCTGTGCTGCCAGTCACAGGGGCTGGGGCTCGCTGGAGCGCTGTCGAGCTGCATAATAACTTGCTATTGTGAAGTGGCATAGCTTGAGGGAGAAGTTATATTTGAAGGCTGTAATTTCATTACGGAATATTGCAGTATGCTAAAAACATGCCTGTATTATAACAAAAAATCTAAACAAGCAGAGCCTGCTTTTTGTAAAAAGCCTTGGCTTAAAGCTGTTGATCATAATTTGGATAGATCCTTCTTCCAGAGGCTCACTCTGCCTGATAGTGCCCTTACTGATAATAAAGGCAGATGTATTTCTGCTGTGGCACATGGATGGTGCCTCTTCCAAGCAGAGATGGATCTGGTGACATGTCTCTTCCACTGAAGCTGGCATGTGACACTGGCATGGCTCATAATATCCCTTGAGGATACAGCCTGAAGTTGTGCCAGGGGATGTTTAGGTTGAACACCAGAAAAAATTTCCTTAAGGGTTGTCAAGCCATGGAAGCCCAAGGCAGTGGTGGAGTCCCCATCCCTGGAGGGACTGAAAAGCCATGTAGATGTGGTGCTGAGGGACATGGTTTAGTGGTGCCCTGGCAGTGCTGGGTTAACATTTGGACTCAATGATCTTAAAGGTCTCTTCCAACCAAAGCGATTCTCTGATTCTGTCCTCGAGCAGCACCAGAGCTGGCTGTCCACAGATCCTTTGGCTTTCCAATGGCACATCACAGAAAGCTCACCCTAAATTGGTGCTGGTTAACCTTATTTGGAGTGATGATGCCAGAACATAAATGGTTAGCAGTTACATTGGTGACTCAGCTTTTGGAGGAGCAGCAGCTCTGATGAGCTTTTCTGAAAGCAGCCAGGTGACAGCATTTGCGAGGACTCGTGTCTGGCCAAGATGAGTCTGCTGGCCTGGAGCAGCTGCGGGAGGGAAGCCCTTGCCTGGGACAGGGCTGGCACCAGCCCAGCCCTGCTTTGCCGTGTGCCAGCTTTTTTTTTTAAAGGTTGAGCTTCATGCCAGCAGTAATTGATTGTAGGCTTTTCTGGAGCAGAGCCCTGGTACCAGCTGTAGCTGAGTTTTTCTTCCTCTTTTTCCAAGCCTCTTTTTTTTTTACACCCACCTGCTTCTTAAATACATTCTTTTTTTTTCATCATCCGCTGAGCTTTCTTATCCCTATTTTTAAGAACAGGGAGGAAGTTGGTGCGTTGGGTTTGTGGTAAATGTGCGTCGCGTCCCCCGGGAGTGACAGTGGCATAAGCTTCCAGGAAGAACACAAGATGACACACAAATCCTCATAAAAATCCCATTTACGGATTCATAGCTTCAGTACAAGAAACAAATCCTGGCATTGTTCAGTAGCTATAAACAGCACCCTGTGAGCTAATTATGACTTGCTGTGTCCCTAGCAATGGCAGACAATAATCTGCAGCTCCCCCCTGCCATGGGAGGAGAAAGCGGATGAACCACAGCCACAGCTCTTCACTGATTTATTCAAGAGGCAGAGTTGTTGTTTTGCCATAGGTCACAGGGGGAGAAAAATAAGCAGATCTAGCATTCAGGTAAAAGAAATTCTTTAAGAGTCGTTAATCTACAATAGGTGATGTACAAGTGTGGTTAGGTAAACGGGCTTTTGAAATCCATGTTTAGTATTCTGCATGCTCACCACTGTGTTTGCAGCATCTGTACCTCAGTGATAGATGTTACCACAAACCTCCAAAATCAGCTGCATCTGTTTAGTCAACTGCAGTAAAAGCAAAGCCTCAGTAGGTTGTTTTATTGTATTTTATTGTTTTCATTTTTCAGTGTCAATAAATCAAATCTGTGATTGCTCTATCCTAATGGCAGTTCATGGGCATATTGCTGTCAGTTTTCAAAATGGCAGTGAGCTCTCACTATTAAGTTGAAGCAAAAACTTGCTGTTTCGTGGGTTTTGTTTTAGTCTTTGCTATTTGGGGAAGCTTGAGCTCTCTTTATTCTGAAAAGGTCATGATTTCCAGTGTAGAAAACACTTGATACTAAATAGGTTATAAGGAAGCATGCCTTCAACTTTCATTAATTCCACTTTTCACAGTAACTACTTCACTTTGCAATATAAGTTTTTTTGGTAAAAGTATTTCTCTTAACCCTATTAGAGGTTTTCTTTGGATTGATTTTTTTGGTGTGTTTTTTAAACATTCAAAATAGGAATGTAATTCTGTATGTCTCTGAAGTATTTCATTAGTGTTGTTATTCACATGGATGTTCCTTGCAGTAAAAGATCACTCCTTAAAAGCATTTCAGTCCTAAAACGAATGGGTATCAGTTGACTCATGGTAACAGAGTGGATCTGAAGCACTTGACACTCAAAGCAGGTCAGACCACAGCAGTTTGTGCCTTATTAAAAGCTTTAACTCTGTTTAACTCTCATGCTGGAGGGGTGGTTGACACCAGGTAGCTTGATCCTGCATTTGAGACATTTCAGCCATAAAAATACTGGCTCATGAAAGAAACATCAGCATGACTGACAACACTAACTGAGCTGGCCCACTTGTGTCTGCAAATAAAATGAAGGATGCACATAAATCTTTACAGGGTCAGGATTTCTGTGTCTGGATCAGATGCTGAAGTTAGAGTGTTTTTGAGATTGGCAATTAGCTTTCAACTAGTTTCTCCAGGCTAATCTCCCAGGAAGGAAAGCCATCACAATTTATGGCAAGATAAACCTCTGGGGTGTAACTGCTGCCCTGTTTCTGGATTAAAGAATAAAGCAAAAGCTGAAAAAATACAGCAGCTAGTATTTAAAATAAAAGATGACCTCGCACAACTCCTTTTAATCCAGTGCTGAATTGCACATTATCTCAGTCTTAGGTGGCTGATCTTTTGTATTGCATCTCACAGCTTCCACATCCATGTGGAGGATTAAACTATCTGAGGACTGCATAAGCTGCATTTTTGGTCCATCTCACCTTTGCCCTTTTCCTTCTGCAGCTTGCTGCCCTATGCATTTAGAGTCTGTTATTCTATTTGTTTCCCGTGATAACATCTCAAGGGAACCCCAAAAAGTAGATGTCTTTGAAGTTTCAACAAAATTGCCTGTGTTGGGTGTGGAAGAGAGTAGTGCTCCCTTAAGGGGAGCATAGCAATAGCTTCTTAGCCCCTTATAAATCCCAGTCAACCCACATGAAAGAGAAACATCATGTCTCATCTCCAGGACAGCCTTCTTTCAGGCCTATACCATTAGAGATGCCAGAGAATGTCACCAAAGTACAGTCAGCAGATGGTAAAAAGCATCCTTTACCTGGAGAGGGAGCTCCCTCAACCTGATCCAGCCCTGAATTGTGCTGTGCAAAGGTTACTTTTGAGAAATTAAGTTGGAAAGAAGCTCAAGTCTTGTAGTGTCAAGGAGAAGGCTCTAGTTTCAGACTTCCTAAAGAGTTGGGGACTGGTATGGGGAGCATTAGGGCAGACAGCTGGAACAGGATTTGTTTTGTTTCATTATGTTCCTTTAATCATGTTCCTTTAAAAATGAAAGATTTGTGGTGTATATGACTTAAAAGGTGTTAATTGAACCACTTAGTGACTGCAAATCCCTAAGCATTTTTCACTTGTCAGTTCCTGTTTTTTCCCTCTGTCTATCTACAAATGCTTCCTAGTGAGTGTTAACCCCTTGTTAACACCATCAGACTTCAGTGGGACAGAGTGTTCTTTGCTGTGCCAGATGTAATGGACTTGCTATTGGGGCACAGAAACCTTTCATTTTTCTCCATCTATATGGATTGATCCAATAAATTAGCTCTCCCCACAAACTTGACATTTGCCTTCTTAGATCTATCCCATTTCAAACAGACCTGTTAAATGGTCCTTTGTACTTTCCTTACTCAGAAATTCCTTATGTCCATTTTATGGGGTGATTACCTTTCTGACAAGATAATTATGTGATTATCCACTTCATAGCTCAGCTTGCAATACCCAGCTCCCTTCTGCCAGTCCAGTGTGGATCTTGTGCCCCTCTAGAATAGGATATCCATCTTCTAACCAACCAAGGTGGTACCAGGAGGTCTGCCTCCTAGAACACTCTCCACCGGCTGATGCTGTGTGACATAGTCTTTAAGCCATCCAGATAGAAGATTGCCACCTGTAAGATGTGGCCTTTAGCTGTATTCTTCTGGCTTTTGTGTGATAGGTAAACTTGCAGATTGATTTTTCCTTAAGCTCCTTGAAGCCCTGACTTGAGTGGAGATAAGATGGCAGGGGGAATGGATTTGAACCAATAAATATCTAGGGCAGTGTCTGCCCCCCTGCCATTAGCTGGAGACTGCTCCCAGCCCAGAGCCTCATTGTGTTGTAGCTTTAGGGCTCTGAACTGCTTTTGCTTCTGTTGGTGACTGACTGCTCTGCCTGGAAACAAGACTCCAGATGTCAGGCGTGGTTATCTCTCAACTGTTGCAACCTTCACCTCATGGTTCTGTTAGGCAGTGCCTGCCAGCTTCATTTGGCCCTCAGGGAGCCACTTAAGCCTCTCTGAATGAGGCTTCTAGTAAATCACAAGCTGTCAAGACCTGCTTTTCTGTATGGGTACCTAACAGTAGTAGAGCTGGCATTGTGATAGCTCCTTGATGATACATTTGTGGACAATCCTTGTACCTATGAGACCTGATGATGCTAAAATTTTCTAATTGATCTATCGTGGAAGAGGTGAAACTAGGGAAAGCATTCCCTGAGCTGTATTGCCTCAACCACCATCCTTTTAGTAGCTGGTGGCTGAAGATGACTTATATTGGGTAAATAGAACTTTTAAAGTTTCTGAATGCAAAGTTTTAAAACTAAGGGGTGCTGTCACACAAAGGAAGTGTGCAAGTTGTGAGTTGATTGCAGGTAGAGATGCACACAGAGAGAAGCACTGGACAGATTGAAAGCCACTCTAAGAAAAGCTCCCAGTGTTCCACTGGGGAAAGGTTGTTCTGAAGGCTTTCTCCAAGCACAATTCATTGGTGTGAGACAAAATGCTGCTGCTGTTGGATGACTGTCTTGTTTCTGTAAGTTACAGATGAACTTGTGCAGACAGAATTAGACAGAACTAGAAATCTTTTGGGTCACTCAGTGAAGTTTCCTGCAGATGAAAGCACCAATAGCATGTTATTCCTTATATTTCTTCAAATTTTTCTTAAAAATAGTTGAGCTTCTTGCCTCTCATGTTTCGGCTGCTCCAGAACTTCAGATAAGCTTTCTGATTCCACACAGCTAAATAACAGTGAGCTATGATCAGTGATTGCTATGCACAGTCTCTCTGTAGTTACAAAACTCACACCCCACTAAGTTCAGTTTGCCCATAGTCAGAGGCAGAACAACAACGCTGCTTGGTGTTATTTCATTAATTTAAAAACGTTTATATTTGCCTTAAAGGGAAATTAGATTTTCCATTCTGTGTGTAAATTCCTGGGGGAAACAGGAAGCAAGTATATGATGGAATCAAGAATTTGCCATGGTATGATACTCCTAAGTAATTTTCCATGTACCTACATCATATTTCAATGCATAGCTGCACTGATCAAAGCAGTACTAAAAAGTTACAGAATCACAGACTTCTAGTTTATATTGTTGGTTAAAAATTGGCCCCAAGTCTACTGTAATCTAGTTAACTGTGTCCGACCTGTTTGACCTGCATGAATTGGATGTGTCAGTTCAGTTTCTGCTACGTGTGTCACGGTGGATACCAGCTGGCCTGCTCTCCTGCCAGATGGTCCAAAAATTGGTGAACAACTATTGCAAATTTCCTTAGCTCTGTCACGTTTTTTGGGAGGCAGAATGGGGGCATAGTGCCAGAATGCTACAAATGTGACCTGGCAGCATTGCTGCTCCTGGTTGTCTGCTGATAGTTAGCTTGTCGGTGGAATTGTCATTTAGCTTCATATGGCTACTTCAGTTTAAAATCTAAACCCATGCTATGTATCTTGCAGTTCTGCATCAGAAACATCTCCTAAAATGTCCATAGCAAACAAATTGCTTTTCCCCCTGGATAGGAGGAGGGTCTTTCTGCATTTACAGAAAGCTGGAGGTAGTTTCTCAGAAGTCAGACTTTCATTTGCACATAGGTACATGTCCAGAACATTACGTATGAGCCAGATGGGAGGTTGATTTACTATCCATGCAGCTATCTGGTTTACAGGTATAGGTTAGGTAGGGATAAGTAGTTACACTTATGGTAATAATAGTAGTAACTATTGGTAAAAGACTAAAGTCAAACCTTGAGCTTTGTGAGAATCTGTCTGGAATTCAGATAGCAAAATAGTAGCAGTGTTAAAAGATGAATGTGTTTGGGGGTCCCAAACCCTAGTACTTCATATTGAGGGGGCAATGTTGCTTAAGCCAATAAAGGTTTTCTCTTAGATCATGGCAGAGGATTTGTTCTGTTTCTGGTGGGTTTGGGGTTGGTCCTTTCCTGAGTATTTCAATGGGGTGGCTTGATCAAATACTGCATGCTATGCAAATATGTGAATGGCCTGACGTATTGCAAGAGTGATTTCTGGGGTTGTAAGGCATGATTTAAAGTAAGACTGACCAGGGATCTCTTTCTTTTTAAGCTGTATCAGCTGGAGTAGTTACCACAAGAACCTGCTAGCCAGCAGTGACTATGAAGGCACCGTCATCCTTTGGGATGGATTCACAGGACAGAGATCCAAGGTCTACCAGGTAACTTGGAACCAGTGAACAACACTTCCCTGCACCATGGGCCACCTCAGGGGAGCGATATTTGGTCTAAGGTTCTGCTTGCAGTAGGCTGTTGTGTTCCACAGGGTGAAATGGCTGTTCCTCCTGGTTTGTAAATGTCTCACCTGCACAGCTCTATTGCACTGCAGTCCTCTGAGGGAGGCAGCTCTATCTCCTAACCAGGCAGTTGATGTTCTTTTGCTGCTGTTTTCAGGCAGGGAACCTGCACAGGAAAAAATGAGCTTCTAGAAGTTTTGTCTTTAGAAACCTCTCTCCATACCTGTTCCACTACAGGCTTTGCCAAAAGCCTTTTGTAAAATCCTGCAATGATTGCTGCTGCAGGTGCTCTTTAGGCAGAAGAGCATGGTGCAGATTTAAGTGGTGGGACTGGGAGAAGAGAGCAGTAGCAGAACCCTTCCTGATACAGTCTTGTGCTCAGCAGTGTGGTGTAATGTGCAGGAAGGCGAAGCTCAACAGCAAGAGCTGCTTCAGGAGAAGTTCCTGGTATTTTGTCTGTATGTGTAATTGGAACATTGTGTTTCTAATGTAATGGATTCTGAGAGGCTTATGATCGTGACGCAGAGGTTGGAAAAGAGGCTGCTCTGTTCAGGGAGAGGCTGGAAGTGCTGCAGGCTGTTCTGTAGGGTATGTAGTCCATTGAAACTGGTCAGTAATAAGGAATGAACTGTAGGCTGGCCTTTAGTTCCCACTTCTTGACACTTCAACTTAAGTTTTAATTCCTGTTTAAGGCCTTGTTTGCCTTTCCCCTTGTGTTTTGGCTATTTTATAATGCTTCTTGGTTTCACTAATCCTTTACATTTGTCAATTAAAAAGAAATTATACTGGACAAAATAAATCTTGTCTGTTTCCCTCTCAAATCTACTTTGCATTTCTTTATGAGGCTGAAAAATGAACCTGGAGAGGACCAGCTGTTGCTTATGGTAAAACAAACTCATTTTGTTTTGTATTAGATTACTTAAATTTTTTTATTTGGATTTGCACAGAGGCGTAGTGACATCTGCTTCACATGTATTCAAAATCCTTTGGTGACTTTGTCCTGGCGAGCTTTTCATGTCATCATCCTGCCAGCCTGCATGAAGGCTTTAAACAAAAGGTTTGACTGGATTTCAGGTTTCGTTCAATGAAGTGTCTTGCTTCCATGTAGAGTATGCCAGCATAGCATATACAGTTCTTCTGCATTTTGTGTAAGAGCGTGCAGGCTTATATGAATATTTGAGTGGACAAACAGAGGATTAGACACCAGAAGTTCTGTGTAATAAGTCAACAGGAAGGTGAAGATTTCCTGGACTTTCAGAGAGGTGTTTGAAATGGCTTTGAATGGCCATATTATCTTCATTGAGAAATACAACTGTGATCTAGTTGGATGAGAAGCAGCACATGGTGGAACCACAGCCAGTCAAACCATGCTGTAGAAACAGGGCTGTAGTGTGTATTTCCTGGAGTCATTGGGGTGTGTTCTTTCAAGTGAAGAAAAAATCTGGTTTAGTTTTGAATTTGCCATTATATTTTCTGCTCTTATGGCATGTCTAGCGTACTACAAGCATTGGTCTGGTTGGGAGAAAAGGTATTTTTTGAGAAAGTGCTAAACACAGTAAGCTTCTCTGTCCAGGATTCTGCTGATAATTCATACCAAATGTGTGTTCTCTTCTACTGTTTTATCAGATTACAGCTCACTACCTGGCAATATCTTCCTTATTTCTTTAAACAGGAGCATGAGAAGAGGTGCTGGAGTGTTGACTTTAACTTGATGGACCCAAAGCTATTGGCTTCAGGCTCTGATGATGCCAAAGGTATTATTCTTTTTCAGTCTGTTTAGAAGGTTTGCACTCTGTGTATTCCCTTTGAGGAATCAAAATGTGATATTTCAAGTAGCTGATTCCTCAGCTGCTTTCAGTATTGTAGTTGGTGTGGCAATGTGTAAAGATATTACTGAACTGTTCGTATCTCTTTGGATTAAGATTTCTTGCTGCAGTGTTCACAGTTTTGGGGTAATATGCTCTCTAGCTAGCTTTTTCCGAGACACTAAACAAAGCAAGATGTGTTCTAACATTAGTTAAGCTTGTTGAACTAAAGCCTTGGGGCCTTTCAAAAGAGCAGCATGCATTTATATTTCAGAAACGAGCTTGTTGGGGAAAAAGCAGAGGTTAAAAATGCCTGCTGCTGCTTCAGCTGCAGCTCTGAATGTTAAGGACCGTGCACACCGAGCAGCATCCTGCTTCCACTGTGCACAGTGTGGTCCTCGCAGCTGAACGCAGTCAGAGCGGGGACTGAGTGGGAGCCTGGCAGCAGCTCTCAGCTTGGCACTCTCCAGGGTCCAGCTGACCAAGGGTTTTAGGGGAACCCTTAGGACAAGCCTTTTCCCAACATACTGGTGGAAGAATGTTTCTCTTCTAAGAAGAAATAGGAAACCTATGAAGAAAAGGGTAGCACTGAGTGATCTGTAGTATTCTTCATCCCTAATGAAGATTTTATCTTTAATATGTTTACAATATCAAATTAGAGTTATTAAGCAGCAAGAGCTTATAATTCCTTTCATAGTCAGTGGGTGTTAACTCTCTTAGATAGGCTGATATAGCTCTGGACAGAGCTCTTCATGATTTGCTTTGAAATAATAAATTAATTTTTTATAAAACTTTCAAGCCACTCCTTCCTCTAAAATGCTTTTAAATTCTGTTGCAAAAGAAAGCTGTATTAGTGTTTCTGAATTGCATTTGGCAGTGTTAATGTAGCTGGTAATTCCATTTACAAAACGCAGCTTTAATGATTATTATGTTTAAGGTAGATTTTGAATGTTTTTGATACACTTCTCTCCACTTTTTGGTGGAAGACAGTGTTCTTCGTGTGCTTAAATGCAGGAAGAGTAAATGTTCACCTTGCAAATTATCAACCTCTTCATCACGTTGCTCCCCACTCATGCCATGCATTTGAAGAGCCTTATCTGCAAGGCAGACATGCATTTATTAGCATGTTAACAAGTTGTCCAGGTTTGCAAAGCCACCTGCAAGCAGAGCTTCTGTCTCTAGTTTAATGGCTCTCTTCAGTAGGAGTTTCTAAATGCGTAGTGTTTGCTTAGAAATTATTGTAATAACGTCCGTGGATCAGCGTAGCTTGCATTGCAATTCACAAAGGTCTTTTGAAGGTGTATTGGGGTTTTGGTGAATAAAACTGGGCTGGAACACTTTATCCTTTACTTCTACCATGATTTGCACACATAACAAGCCCATTAGAGACAAATGGAGTTCTGAGTGGAAGTGTTTGAAATAAGCACAGTCTAAGGTGAAGGGTAATCTCTGTACAAAGCAAATCTCCAAATGAATGTCACAATGTCCAGCTTCCATTTCAGTAATCAGATTGAAAGGGTTAAATGTGAGGAAGAGGTAACACCTATGGCTTGCTGTAACTCAAACCTGTATGATTTAAGCTTTTGTCTTTCTGCTTATGTTCATGAGTGTGTGGTTGAGCTCTGGACAGCTTTGGGTATGTAGCAAGTAATGCATGTTGGGCTGGGTACAGCATCTGGTGGGAAAGCTAAGATCTGTGTATTCTTCCTGTCCTTTTATACTCATCTGCTTGTGTGAAGCCACCCTGGGCTTTCTAATAAGCAATCTCGATGCTGATAGATATTGGTGTGACCAGAGCAATTGGAGCTAAACTCACCATGCTTCCCCAGAAAGCATGAGTGTAACATCTCCCTGTCAAGTGATTGGGGCAAGCCAGCAAAAAAAGTGACAGCTTGGCCAGTTCTTGCTGCTTGCCTGTGTATCTGCCTGTCTCTCCTCGGTCTTTTCAAGCTGAAAGCTAATTTTTAAAGCACTTCGTGTGCTGGGTAGGCATGTATTGGGGAGGGAGTTTTTAGATGAACTATCCTATCATCAGTGCTTCACAGCAGTCTCTGCCAGGGCTCAGGTACAGCAAAGGAGAAGCTAACGAACTGAGTGCTATTAGGGATAAAATTATTCTGATGCCATTAGAAATGGCTTCCTTGTGCCTCAAGTCCTGCATTGTCATCCTGGTTGGTAGATGAAGATAATCCTGGATGCCTATTTATGGAAGATCTTTCTACTTTAATAGCAGATAATGAAAGCATAAAAGTATTATTACATTTGAAGTAACTACTGTGTGTATGAAAACCTCACTTTTGTCTAGAGTTTTCATGCCCTTGCCTTTTAAAGGAGACAAAGGTAGTTGCATATGTCTATAGGGACCCAAAGATGTACACCAGCTAGACAGCAGTGAGCAAAATTAAAATGTTTACTTGTGCTACAAGCAGCTTGGGGAAACAGCACCATCTTAACATCAGTTCTTTTATGCATGTAAGAGCAGGAGCTATGATTCTCGTGTAAGTCAGAAAGGGTGACTTTTTGCTTTTTGAGCAGAATAGATTCTTTAATTTTGTGAAGGCAAAATGATACTATCAGAGTGCTGGGTAGGGCTGGAGCTGGTGCACTTACCTGATTACTTCTCAACCCGACATACCTGTCTATTCTCGATTAGGAATTTAGTTTAATGGCCAGTGTAAAATTATTAGGTGAGACAGAGCAAAATAATTTGTGATGCTGTGTGGGTAGAATTTAAGTCTTCACTGTGGTAGGGATCTGTTCTGGAGTGATGAAGTGTTGTTTCTCTGCTCTGGGGTTGTTTTTGAAGCTGTAGGGGATACAAGCAGCACTGGCAAATTCAACTGAAGAATGAATCTCCGATTTAAGTCATTTCTGTAAGCTGTAGTCCCTTTGCTATTTCCTGGCTCCAAATGGAGAGGTGGAGCACAACAGGAGCACCTGACACCTCCGAGCCATAGTAAGAGGTTACCTTTCATTGTCTCTTGGCAAGGAAGAATGCAAGCACCTGTTTCCTTATGTATAAGGAAAGTAGTTTCCGTGCCGCCTTGGTAAGTGAGACTGTGGGTGCTAATCCTACAGGTATTTTTTGTAATGTCCCTGAATTCGGTGGGCCAGAGCTGATCAGCGTTGGCTTCAAAAAGAAGTGAGGCCTTGTAGAGGAGTAACTAACCTGAGAGCTGTAGATCAGAGTTTGTTCCCAGGCTTTGAGGATTTTCAGAGGATTGTCTGGGGCTTTATTTTCAGTGATACTTAACTCCTTCAGCTTCTGCTAACTTTAACTGGAGTTCTAGGTGCTCTTAAAATACCAGGTTGAACTTTCAGTTTGCTCATTTTCCTGGCTAAAAAGTTCAGTAATTTTCAGGAGATCTGTGGTAGTGTTGGATTCTATTGGGAATACCTCAAAAAGTCAAGATGATGTCAGTAGCCAAAACACCAACCAAAATATTCCTGTCAGCATTATGTAAGGAGGGATACCCTGTGGTCACTGCCTGCTAACAGTCATCAGATTACATCAACCTCCTGACCTGCACAAGGCAGTAAATAAAAAAAAAAAAATATCTAATGGGACAATTCAGCAGCTTTCTTCTTTCCTAGGGATTCCTCAAATGTATGCAAATAAGTTTCCTGGTAGCAGTATCCTATTCCTGATTTACAGCATTCTTTTTTTGGAGTAACAGCAGCCATATAACAACCAGATAAGAGTTTCAGGAGTGACGGGCAGGATGAAATATCCTTCCTTTCAACATACCAACTGTACATCAACACCGTCAGCTACTGCAGCACAGGCTTCTGCCTCTTCTAGTTGGTGTTTAGACATGGAACTGATGTGTAGAAAGTGAACTTATAAACTTACACATTTGGAGTAAAGCTCCAGCGAAATCAAAAAAACTTGAAGACCTAAATATTTAAACTGAAAAAGCTCTTCTGGAGGCATCTTCTTACTTGTTTGAGGGGTAGATATTTGGCTGCATAGAGATGTCTCTCTCAGCAGCTGCAAAATTAGGAGACATATGCTTTGAAAACATGTGTTTTAGAAATAGTCAATCTCAGATGGTTGCCTGTCTCATCAACACAGTTCTAGGTGTTATCAAGACATTTGCATGTTGTATAATTACTGCCTCGACCTCAGCAAAATTGCTGAAAGCTACAGCAAATAAAGTCTACCCTTATGAATTACGCTTTATTAACCTGTCATTCTTTTTAAAAAATAATGGGCAGTTCCAGGTAAAAGTTGACATGTTTTATTATGTGTTATGTGGCATATATCCTCCTTTTTTATGGCACTGACTAAGATGTAATTGGAGCCCAGCTTATCCCACAGCAGTTACATCACAGAAATTGCAGGCTCTAATCTGTGTCTGTCAGTTGTAACGAATATTATGATGACTCTGAACACACCAGTTGACTCTTTCACCAGATTAAATGGCTCAGTTTATGACCTGAAAATTTGAATTAAAAAAAGGAGCCTAGTTGAAACCGAGCCCTCAATTAGCTTTTGCTACAAAACTGAGGTCAGATGGCATTTTCTTTATTAGAGGTGGTGTCAAGGAGAAACTTGGTTGCTTCTAGGTACAACTTTACATATTGATACCTGGTTGAGAGGCTTCAATACAAGTCTGTGTGGTTTTGGTACTAGATTTGGGCGGGACACTGCTCTGAGCTGTGATATCCTGCCACCTCCCCTCACACCTCATGCTGAAGCACTGTTGTCTGCCAGCTGTGTCCTCCTGTAGTCATAGTATTACTTGCTTTCTATCCCATCTCATCTATAACTTCATGTCCTCTACTGCTGCTGCAGCTTAGGCTACGCATCTCCAGGTGTCTGTTCATTAAAGCAAAATGCTAATGTCTTATTCTTTTGAAAAATTGCCTTTCCTGGCTCTGTTCCCCTCCCCGCCCCCAAGCACAGAACACAGTGGAGGAGGGATATAATCCAGTCTCACCTGGGAGAAGAGTGCATCTTAAGCCATGCTTCCAAAGCTGTTGGCTTAATTTAGAAATGTAGCTGGATGTTTAGGATGAGCATTATAGCTCTGGTAAATGAGAACAGATTTATTTCTGTAAACCAACAAGAGGGTGGGTGCTGCTTTCATTAAAGTTTACATAATGCTTATATGCAAATACAGCATGCATCGGTATTTGTATTTCTGGTGTGTGTATTTTGCTGTTTGACGATGGTTCCGAGCAGCTGTCAGATACCCACACAGTGCTGTACTTAGTATGATTCCTTGGGGTGCTCTGAGCAGTCGTGGATTTCCTTCATCCTGGAAGCAGTTCTCCTAGGTATGGTCAGAAATAGCACAATCTTAGAATCATTTTGTCATTTAGGTTGGAAAAGACCTTTAAGATCGTTTAGTCCAGCTATTAACCCAGCACTGTCAGGTCACCACTAAACTGTGTCCCTCAGCACCATATCTTGTTGCTTTTCATTGCTTGCGATACTACTTACAAGTGGGTCCAGTGGAACAACCTGCCAGTGTTCCTTCTTTTCCTTGACTATCTGAAACATCCTTGGGTAGTCCACATGGAAGCCTTACTTTGCTCTCAAAGCTCCTGGGAAAGACTGAACAAGGGGTGGTACAGAAGATTGCTTAGAGGGTTGGGGACACACCATAAGGCTGTTTACCTCATGTGTTGACCATAGTAGGAAACAAGATTTCTGTTCTTTCTCCACTTTTTTTCGCTACACCTCCAAAACGAGCTTTCTGTAAAAATACAGCAGAGGACCCATTGATCACAGATCTTAAGAAGCTTTTGGGAGCTGTTCAGGGGATTAAGCCTATGCATAGCTCCTGCATATTCAAATGTTGGCTTCAGCTTGCTCTCCTTCCTGCCTCAGCACTGATCGTGATACTCAAGTGCAGTGCAACCCACTCATCGAGAAAAGGGGGAAGGGAGAACATTTAGGTCTTATTTTCTGGCTTGTAGGCATCAGTGGGGGCTTGATGCCAGTGTGTTGCCCCTTTGCCTGGACTGAGAGCAAAGTGTTTCATCTCTAGCTTCCAATAGTAAGAGTGGCTACATAGGGAGTGCCTGACAGTCTTTAAGATGAAATGGTTCTTGATGTGTTTGTGGAGGGTGGAAGGTCTGTGTTTGCTCCTGATGTTGTCTGTTGGTCATCCTGCAAAGCACTGACATGAGAACTCAGGGGAAGAGCTCATTCTGTACCACAAAGTTTAATCGGTGTTCACACAGTCTCATAGAATGGTAGAGTTCCTTGTACCAAGGAGCTAGATCATCATAGCAAACCTGCACACTGATTTCCTTCCTGTCTGTGCCAGTTTCTTGAGACTAAAACAAGTTGTTCTTACTCGCTGTGCTCTCAAGCACACAATTAAGTGTATTTATTCTTTCCAAAGCAATTCTGGCCATGGAGCACGGACTTCTTGCGTCCCAGCTAAGGGACAAGGAACAAATAGGATGCAAACCTTCCTACTCTCAGCTATATGAATCAGTACTCTACTAGCCTTAAAGGCTCAGATCCTGACACGTAGTTAGTCACCTGCTCTGATGCTCTCACAGACATGCAGGATATGGACTTTTAGCACCTTCTGTATGTATGGAAGTAGACGGAATATTTACAGCGTGCACTCGTGAATGTTCTCAAGCTTACCAGGTGTTATCGGCAGCTGACTCTTTATAATCACCAACATCAGAGCAAGTGAGGCTTTTCAGAATCTTAATTATGAAATAACTAGATTTTCTGCCATTCGGATGAGGTTGATTTTTTGTTTGTTTTGGTTTGTTTTGGTTTACTCATTCCTCTTTTTCTGTTTCCCTAGTGAAGCTGTGGTCTACCAACTTGGACAACTCAGTAGCAAGCATCGAGGCCAAGGCTAACGTGTGTTGTGTCAAATTCAGCCCCTCTTCTAGGTATCACCTAGCTTTTGGCTGTGCAGGTAGGTAAAGGGGGGTTTGGGCCAAGAGAAACTTTCTTCCTCCTGTTTTTTATTCCCCCCAAAGATGTGAGGTTGACTGCTGAGCTCAGGACAGAGGTCTCTTTGCAGTTAAAATTCCTCCGAGTGAAACTTCTCAAATGTATTGTCACCCAGAAGGCATCATAATATCCCAAGTGTCAGCTTCATCCTGCAGCCTGACTTTTGAATTTTGGTGTTTCTGTCAGAGATAAAAGCTCACGAAAGCAAGTCTGGTGTGTTTATTGAGATCACTACGGCAACCAGGCAAAACTCAGCTTGGAGAGTCTTGCTGCAAAGTTAATGTGTTAACAGAGTGATAGCTATTCTTTCTGATGTACAGCATTGCTCTATAAATACTACAAAGCCATACAGGGAGTATTAGCTGCTTTTACCTGACGTGCTGCAATACAGTGGCTGTTCCTGTTTCCCATAGCTGCAGCTACAGTCCCCATGGGTGGACTCGTCTTTTCCTAGGTTGGGCAAAGATCACTGTTAATGTGTTTTTTGAAATAGTCAGTGGGGAAGGCACGATGAGCCTTTTATTCACTTAGATTAAATAGTTCTTAGTGATAATACAAAGATTTGAGAGCAGAGTGGGTATCGCTTTGGGAGGAAATTGTATCATGCTATGTGTGCAGCAACTGAAGCTCAGAGGTACCTATAAATGTTTAACCAGCTCTGTGTTTTCTTTCTCCTTGGGGAGTTTTAATGCACTTGTAACTAGATGTTCTGACAACATTTGCTGTCTCTGGACTTCAGGAGATACGTTGATCATCCTTGCAACCATGGGTTTGCCATTTCATTTGGGTGGTTCCAATTTCCAGGCTGGTTCTACTTCGATTGTGACTCCTGGGAGGAAAAACTAAATTTCCATTTTGATACACTGCAAAAAAATGGATTCAACTTGGAGTGTAAAATATTGACTTGCTTGACAGGAATCTCACTGAAGTTTAGTGAATTACATGCAAGAATAGAATTGAATTACAATACCTGCTAACAGCATTTGAATGAAAGGGGCTATCTGTGGAAGGG